ATTTGTATTCCATCTTGTAGAGCTTGCTTTGCTCTATCAAGCTGTACCCCACTCACTGTTTTCCGTGATCACTTTATCGCCCTAGATTGCAATACACCATTATTTTCCGGACAACCCAGTGTGTTGATGCTGAGTCAAAGCCACTTCTAAAGGTTTAACATTTTGAATTGGTTTCTAACGCGTTTCTGGCTTGAGTACCCCACTTAAAAGATTCTGACGATTTATGGGAAGCTTAAAGAAGTGTGGTATCTACTGTAGGGTGTTCTTTCCATACTGTCAATCTTTCATAACTTGTGAGAGATGTGGGCCTGTTCAAAAGACCGAAATCACCTTCACAACCAACTAATAGATCACCGAACTTTTTATTTGTAGAGTAACGTTGATATTTAAGGATGTTGCTTATGCGCTTAGCTGTCCTGATGGTCGTAAAGTATTTCTTGAAAAAACAAAAGAAAACGCCGTACTGTCGCTTACAGACAGCGATGGACACTCGATCAAAACGCTCGCCTGTGAATTTTGATCAAGCCTCAATTGAAATCGATGTAAATGAAAGTAAACAATTCATCTTAGTTGTATTCTGTATGCATCAACTTACTAGGCAGTATGCTGTGCAAAAGATTTTATTGGGCAAGTCATATTAACAAATGCATCAAACAAATCAAACAGTGGGAATTATTGCTGGCTACGTATATGAACATATTCACAGGTTCAAAGTTTCAGCAAAATGGTAGTGTAAGGAGCATAGATTATTGAACACAGTAGAACTCTTGATGAAACACCGTTTGTAATGAAAAGTGAGGACTAGCTGAGCTATCATTATTAGCGCAGATTGGCTAAACATCAACCATTAGCAGTTAGGTAGAATAAAGCAACAAACCTTAACTATCAAGTGCTGCCTATCTCATCAAGAGAGCGGCGAGTCAATTGGGCATGAGTTTCATTTACCGAGAGAATCCTAATAGTAGCACCCTCTGCAGAGAGTAAATATCGGGGGCACTGTTTGATCACTTGCAAGTGTGGACTTGGATGTCCTCGATGCACTCTTTACAGTTTACTTGGCAGCACCAGACGAATTTACAGTGGCACTGCGTCATTCTGCGTTCCAATCTAGTATTGTAGCCACGGCCGCAGCATAGCAGATCGCAGCTGTCCGCGTTGTATGACGAGTGTTTACATTCTCGCCCGTTCGTTCCCAAAATACCTAAAGAAAATTTTTATTGCGCAGATGAGAAATGCAACGACAATTCCTTCAGCCAATACGTGATCTCGAGTTCAAACAAGAAATTGATTTTGCCTTTGTTTGAAGAATGAGTAATGATTGAATCAAAGAAGTCTTTTCAGTATTTCTCTATGATAAATTCGGGCACAAGACGAGGTGCTGAAAGCAGGACAGAGAAGATTGCAAAAATAACTAAACCCACTGTTTGGACCCTTGAGCTACTTTCATACTGAACCCGAAGTCTGGGAACAGTTAAGCGCAGCGAAGTGCTGTTCTGAAACTGTTCCGGGATTTTGGGATCAGTATGAACGCAGCCTTAAGTTTCATTGTGTAGTAGGTGGGCCCACACTTTGCATGTTAAACAAGACATCGATCGTCTTCCGTTTATAAGGCCGTAATAGGCAATCCTAGCAAATCGAAATCACTGTAATTTGGTGTAAAAAGTGTCTCGTTGACGATAATGTTGTTGAATATATTTACCCATAGACGAACCCGGTTTTAGACAGGAGAGCAACCTCCAATACGTCGGGACCTCCTTATATAAACAGATACTTAGGCGGAGCTTACCCGTGCACAGTCAAACTGTATGACAAATTTTTACAAATGATTAATGCCGCGACCTGAAAATATAACGTGTGAGAATACCGCACGCTTTCAAGATTATGGAGTTGGTAGTTTAATGCGTACAAATCATCAACGCGCTCTGGGCGAGCAAGCGAGAGGTGAAATGGCAAAATTTCAATAAGCTAACGTGCAACATTGACTCTAGAAATGTTGCATCGGAAGATCTACTAGGCCGTTTTATAAGTTCGTAGAGCTTTTATAAACTAGAAAATGACAAGGATTTGTTGGAAATCAGCCAGAATGTATGTTCCATTGTTGCGCGCAACCGCCTGCCGCCTTCCCATCAAATATTCAGCTAAGTTTTGCAAAAGTTCAGGGAGTCTGAACCCAAAAAAAGTTGTCTAGCCAGTGCTGGAGATCGTCTTCGCAATCAAAATGAACGCCGTTTATATGATTTGCGGTTAGTCCAGGGCAAATGGTAATTTTCTAGAGCGGAATCTTAGCAGTACATTGGATGCTAATGCACCTCTCTGTCAAGTCTTTACAGTTTTGACGATATTTGCCGTACGGAGCCATATTTTGTCGTGAAAAAAAAAAC